AGGATTATGGCTTGCGAGCCAGGTCAAGGTCGCGCAGCTGAGGGTTAACAGGCAAACCCTGTTAGTTCTGCTAAACCCCATGCAGGTTTGCAGAGAGATGGGCCCCCATCGATGGCACTTCTGCTGCACCTGTGTGCTATGGCCAGGGATGCTGGCTGGCGTGAGAAGGGCTGGCTGGTGCTTGATGCTGTTGCTCGCAGAGCTGCGGTGCCTCTCACAGACGTGCTAGCAGGTGGCTGGAGATCCCTCGGGGACGGATGTTCCCTACGCCGGCGTTTGCTGTCGCTTCCTGTGCCCATTTCTGCTGGCACGCAGTGCTGTGCTGCTTTGGTTTCTTTCAGGTTTAGATAGCTGTATTACTGAAAGAGATAAGAGGGAATTGCAAATAAGGCCAGTAAAACATTAATATCATATTGACTCCCTGCATCTTCTGTATGAGCTGTACAGCATTATGCTTGCATATTCTACAGAAAATGATGCTTTCTTAAAAAACAAAACGGTTATCGGCAGTTATTTATGATCTCTCCTTGAAAATACGAAATTACAAGTGCCTTTGTATCCTCTGTTCGGCTGCTGGGACCTCTGGAGTTGGGAGAAAACATAGCAACTTAAAACCTTTGGAGTTCTTCAGAGTGGTTTAAATTGTCTTAACTCCACATATAAACATCGTGACTTTGATCCTTTGACTTTGGTCCAAGATGCTTCCAGGAAAGGAGGCGGCCGTGAGAGGGGATGCTTTGGGTTTTCTGTACATACCTGGGTACCTCTATATTTCCTTTGCCCTGTAACCGTCCTTAAACCATTACGCCTTACACCTTAATACCATCAATCAGTGCTTTGCAGGCTGTAGTCAGCTGATCACTTGAATTTCCTGGACTCAAAAATAATAGTAATAAGTAAAAATTAACATTAAAAGTAACAAGAAAGAGAAACCTCTGCCTGTTGGTAGGAGCAGCTTTGCGACACAGGCAGCTGCACCACTATTGCAAAATTTTGCAGTGCGTTAGGATTATTTGTGTCTTCCTTCACCCCAAAACACACTCGGTAATGCCTGTGTGTTATTTGAGCTCGAGCACCTCTTTTAGCAAAATACTTAGTCTTGCTTTAAAGACTAATTGAAGGCTACCACGTCTCTGGGAAAAATCCTCCTAAATATTTAGAGCGTGTTGTGTTATAAATCCCTGACAATAAAGTAAAACGTTCCTCCTCCCTTTCAGAGCATCTCTGAGATGGAGAAGACTCAAGGCTTCCTATACATTAAAAGAAAAACATGTGAGTAGTGCAAAAGAAATTACTTCCACTGTGTAATTTCACGTACTGCTCCCATATGTGCCAGCTCTATTCCTATAGAAACGAGTGGCATATGGGTTTGGTCGGCTGGATGCAGGCTGTGTTATCTGGTCAGGAAGCCACTTGGCTTTGAGAAATTGAATTGCATTTATTAACTCTGAAATGCTGTTGAATTAAACAGCCATTAAGCACCGACACTGTAATCTCATATTTGTAATGACCCTGGAGGTTGTGGGTAATGAAAATATAAATGCCATGACCTGGGATGAAATTAGAGACCTCATAATTGCTAAAAATGGGGTTGGCATCCTTCATGTTTTCAAAGGGCTGGAAATAAGTATCGGGTCATTACAGAGTTAAGCGAGGTCTTGGAAACCTGCAGGTGGAAATCCGGAGTTATTGCTCTGTGCTAGCAAGTTCGTTCTGCCTTCCTAACTGGCTGCAAAGTCTGGCTCTGTCAGTCTTAGCAGGCACGTTTGTGGAGGTTTTGGCCCCAAGGCGATGGTTGTGGTCGCAGCCCTTGCCGGTACAGACCGCACACTGAGCGAGGACTGAAAACACCATGGGGCAGCGCTGGGCTGGGGGAGAGGAGCATTAACTGCTTATGTAGGGGGTACGCAGTGTGTTTCAACTTGGTCAAATAGCTAAATACCTTTTTCTCTTCTAAAAGAAAATAATGGCTAGGGTTTGCTGTGTGCCTTCCCACTGTGGATAGGTGAGTACCGGGGAATCCTGAGCCCGGGGTGCTGTTGCTCTGCCATGGTGGTGCTATGGATGCTGCCTACGAGCTCAGTGCTTTTAATCAGCAAATCCAGTAATGAACCTGCTTAATGGTTTCAGTCCCTTGTCTCTGTGTTTCTACAGCTTAAGCTTTTGGGGATTTAAAACTACAGCCTTACACCTTGGGGAAGCATCTCAGTGGGGATCTGTGCCGGGAAACAGGCAGCAGCCTGGGTGAAAACCTCTGGCAGTGCTGAATTTCAACTGAGAGCGGGATGCAATCTGTCTGGGCTTCCCTGTATCCTTTAGGTAACGCTTGTTGGGAAAACGGCAGCGCTCTGTGTGGGTGAGTTGCAGAGAAGTGCCATCTCTGCACGTTATTCAGCTGGAAGAAAAGAAAACTGCATCAAGAAACCTCTGTTAAAAAGGAAAATAAATTGTTCCCGGGGTGCTCACGTGGCTCAGCAACAGATTTTAGTCTGGAAACTGTATGTTGAAAGTATTTAGTCAAGCTACTGTTCTTTGCAGCCTGTGATGAATGCACCAACAAGACGGTGCAGCTATTTATTTTGGTTTTCTCCCTAATGAGTTTTTATATTTATTTGTTGTGTGCTTCTTTATAGGTGATCTGTTTGAGTGAATAACATTTGCCTGGGAACCAATTTTTTAATCTCAAAGGTAGTTCGATAAAATGCTTCATAGACCCATGTACCAGAATAATCCGCGTTTAACGCACACAAACCTGTTGAAACCTGAACCAACAAGATCGAAGCGTGTTATCTCCAAACCGATGCCGGGCACTTTTAACCTTGGTGTTAGTTTCCCTGTTCTTATTATAGCCTCAATCAACTGAAATAGCTTAAGGAAAAAATAGTCTGGGGGCGGGGGGAGAAGAGTGTGTTTGCCTTTAGCACGTTCTTGAGATCTTGAGCGTGGTGGCTGCTCATTTCTCTGTGGCTTTCTGCAACAAGACCGGCCCAGCTTTGAGACCCAGCTGACATGTGGCCTCTTTTGGCATCCCATGCTTTGTTGATGTTTTAAAAATAACTCTAAAGCACGGGTCTAACACCGGGTTAAGGTGCTGGGGTGACGATGCTGGGAACCACTGTCCTCCCCTGGTAGGCAGGAGAGAGGCGGCTGGTTCCTGGGGGTGCCCTCCCTTCAGCCTCTGGAAGGTGCATCCAGCCGCGTGGGCTATTTGTAAAAGATGGGCACACAGAATTAAATGGGGATCCCTGATTCTGCTCATCTAGGTCAGCAAGCAGGTATTTGATGGTGATAATGGTCAGACCCGATTTGAACTAGGAGTGAGTGAAGCCAGCAAAGTCAGGGCTGTACCATCCCCCATCTCCAGTGAATGTCTAAAACCTGTGTTTTTCCTCCATTAATTTAATCAAGGCAAATTATTTTTTAAAAGACCCCGCTATTCATTAAGGATATAATTATAACTAACTGCTCATGGCAGATTTTTCCCTCTCCTGATTTGCAGTCAGCCAGAAGTTGGTTTTCAGCATGCCCACGTTTTGATTCCCATTCTCCTTCCTCCCTCCTCAGCTGGTTTTGATTTTATTTTACTTACTAAATGAATTTTTCAGGGGAAAGAAAAGTATTTGTCATTCTGCCCTGTGCAGAATCAAGTGTAAGGGACATGTAAGATAAGTCCCATTCCTGGAAATGTGCTTGGCAGCTGTTAACAGATAACGAGGACATGCCATAACTTGTGCTGATACCTCTGGGAAACTGAGGCGAGGAGAGAAACTGGACCAGGGTCCTGGCTCTTTGAACAGCCTATTTCAGTGTATTTAGTAGTTCGTATTATTTAACAGCAAAAAGTGAATATATGGCAAAAAGTGAATCCCCTGAGACCCAGCTAAGCAGGACTGTCCTGCGCTGGGCGATGTGTTGCAAAGTACCAGAGTTTATTTTGCATTTTAATCAAATATCCTGCATCTTACAAGAGCCGTTATGTGGCAACCTGTATCAGAATGATGTTAAATTATCCTTCGTTTGGGGAGGGGTCATCTGTTGTGTTGTAGGTGCAGGAAAGCTGCTTTCTGGGGTGCTCCGTAGAATATTGAATATGGAAGAGGAATAGCAGAGTGCAGCGGTATCTGTGCTACCTGAGCATCTCCTGAGCATGGCAGGGATCCAGCCAGAGGGGCTGGGGAAACCGTTTTCTGTGGGCTTGTTGAGGCAATCACTTGATACTTTTGTGAGTTGCTATATCTTCCAGTAATTTAGTGCGTTGGAAGCTTTACACCATTCCAAAGCATTTCCATGTTTCTCAAATCCTCAGAAAACTGATCACTTTGACGTTTAGGAGAACTGGAGTTGTCCTTTCCATGCAGAACCTAAATGCCTTTAATCTGATTTATTAACTCAGCATAGAAAAGGGGGACTTCACCTAGTAGGACCCCACTCCTGGAACAGTTATTCCCCTTCATTTTATTACACAAAGCAAAATAAATAGATAGCTTTTTTTCCAGCCAGCACTAATGAGATATTTTGCATACAGCTGAGCATAATCATGAAACCCAAAAGGATATCCGAGGTTTTAATTTTGGCATCCTGTTGTGCCTGAGAAGGAACACAGTGATTTATCCATCAAGCTGATACTTTGATGATTTGTAGTTATTTAGTTTTTTGCTAGGATGGGGGTGTTTGAGTTTTTGCTATCATTTTATAGTTATCCCAAACATCACAAGAGGGCACAAAATAAACCGTGTAAAAATAAGTGCCAGTGAATTATTTGTTGAAGCTGAGGTAGGAGCCAGCTGCCTGAAAGCAATGCCTGTTTGGGGGCTTTTTTCTTTTTTTTTTTATTTTTTTTTTTTAAGCAAGTGCCTTATTAAGCTGCTGAGGCAGGACACTTTCAACCAGTGGATTTGATGGTATTTTTGTTAATTGGTGGTCGGGGTTCCCACTCAGGCCAGGCTGTGTGTTGGGAGGAGCAGGGACAGGGCAGCACGGGTCACCCACGGGCAGGGGGGATGGCGAGGCAGGAGCTCTGCCGCACCAATGCCGGGCAGGAGGCGGGTGGCGTTATCGGCAGAGGTGGGCAGGTGAAATCCTGCGTGGACAGGCTGAAGGCCATAGTGGTGTTCATTTCAGTTTCCCAAATCGTTTTCCTCCCTACAGACCTCCCACCCCAGGTGCAGGGGACCCCGTCTCCGGCTGCAGGACCCCCCAATGCCCGGGGAGAAGCACGAGCGTCTCCAAAAGGCACTTCAGGCCAGGTCCCTTGCACCGTGGGAAAGCAGCTGCTGGGGCTGGCAGGGCAGGCGCAGGTCCCCGGGGGGGACAGGCACAGAAGTCCCTGTTATTGTGTGGTCCCTTTTGCAGGCAGCAAGAGCCGGGATGCAGCAAGGAGGTGTTGTGCTGGGAAGAGAGATGAGGGCAAAGGACTCCTGACCTGTTTACCAGCTTCGTTAGCCTGCCGCTCACAAAGCGGCCCTAATTAGGGACGTAGCTATGGAGCTGATTGCCGGGTGCAGCGGCGCGTACTGCAGCCCTGCTTTTTGTGGGGCGGCGGGGTCTGGGTGCTGGCTCCAGCGAATGGGGACCGGAGCTGCTCCGCTCACCTCTCGCTGGGGCCGGGGCAAAGCAATTACGGCGCTCGGGTGCAACATGCTTTGGTAAAAACGTGGTGCCTGGTATTGCTTCAGAGTGAGTCTTAGATGGCGTGTTTATTGAACAATCATCGGGCTGCCAAAAAAACAGGTAGGGATGTAGTCCTGGGCAGAAACAGTAGCACTTTGGTGCTGTGTGCCCTGTTTGCAGGTACAGGGAGGGGACTGGGAAACGCAGCATGCTGGTACAGGGCTGCTGCAGTCATTGGGCTGGCGTTCGTGCTGAGAGTTGTGTCCGGCTGCTGGTGTGCAGCTGAGCTGGAGCCGATGCTTATTTGCGATCCGCTTGTTTCCGTTTGACCTTCTCCTGTTACTGCCTTTTATCGTAAATAAGTCTTCATGCCTGGTGATGTTTATCCCCAGAAGTGTTTCTGGAGCATCGTTGCGCTGCCTCCAGCCTGGCTTTTGCAAGGCGCAGCCCTCGTGCTGGCTCCACTCCCACACTCATCTGGGCCACGGCCCCCGAGAAGTGGGACTTCTGGGGATGCTCCTCTGGAAGCGGTGGTGGGCCAGTGCTGGCAGGACCGCCGCGTGCTCTTCAGACCCGCCACTTCATTCCCAAAGACATGGAAGCCTTTGGCCTCTTTGGAGGGCATCTGCTACCCGCGCTTTCCATGTGGCCAGGTCCCTAACAGGGGACTGTCCCCAGCCTGGCCGAGCAGGGACTGACTTTGTCTACTGATTCTGCATTCAGGTACCCTCTGTCTCTCAAGGCAGCAAGGTTTTACACTGACCCTCGCCGCAGCCCCTAGCACAGCACTTATGCTATGGCACCTTCTGCCATGGTGATCTCATTTTGCTGGGACTTAATGGGATTAGCAGGCAAGTATGTATTCAGGATTGGGGGAGGCTGTTTTGTGAGCAAGCCCAGATGGAGGGAGATGCAGCGCACAGACCTGGGGAGCCCAGGGGAGGCCCACAGCGATGCTCTGCCCTGGGACTCCAGTGCCTGCAGCTCGCTCCCCAAAGCAGCACGAGCATAGCCAGAACCATATGTGTGTTTTTCAAAGGAATATCTGTTTTCCTAAAATTAAGCTTTCCTAGACCTGTCTCTTTTCATTTAACACTTTTTCCCCTGCTGCAAGGCTTACCCCCACCCCCTGCAGCCTGAGTGACTTCTCTCCCATCCAAGTTTCCCAAGCCCTCGAGCCCTTTGAAAGCTTTTGTGGCTTCACGACAGTGAAGCTGTCGGACAGATAAAATATGGGGCGAGCCCTCTGTCAGCAGACCTCGCTGGGGAGCTCCGGCCATGCTTCGTAACCGCATCAGTGCCGTGCTTACAGACCGCTCCGTTCAAGTAGTAGCTGGGTAGTTTCCTTCTGCTGCTCCATCTGCAGCCCCCCAGGGCAGAGGGGAGGCAGGGAGTGGGGGATGCTCCTTCTCTTCTCCAAAGTGAGCAGTGGCAGCATGTCCAGGACATCCTGGGATCAGCCTCCTGGGTGCTGGGCAGATGCTCCCCCCACCTTCCAGCATCTGCTCTGCCTCTGAAATCCTTGCGTAGTGACTCAGCAGCATGTTGAAAAATTCCTGCTCTTTTTCAGCACATGAAAACCCCCAAATCCCATGAATTCCCCCTTAATTTACATCCTGAATGGCTATGTTGGGAAGGAAAATCCTGTGGATTAAGGGACGATGTCACAACATGCCAAGTGAACAAGCAGGAGGCAGCATCTGCCTGGTTTGGGGACCCAAGGATGCTCCAGAAGCATCAGGGAGCGGGTTTGGGACAGAGCAACTCTCTGAATTAATGCTGCTGGGATCAGAAATACCCTTCTCACCTTAAACGAGATGGTGGGCAACTGCTTTGGGTGGCCAGTGAGTCCCTCTTTGTCCTGACGTCCCTGAGCCTGAATCCAGCTGCGTGCCTGTGAGTTGCTGGTGGAGGGGACAGGCTCTTCCCATGGGCTCGCCCGCTGCCTGCCAAGCACCTGCCATCCCTACAGCGATCGGGAAATAGGAGCATCTCTGCAAGGACTTCCAACACCTCCACGTATTTTTGAGGTCCCTAAACTGGATGTGGGGAGCCTTGTGCTTTTCTGTGGTGAAAGCAGCAGCAGCTCATCCAATCGTGCATGGATAAATGAAGTTTTTGAGATGCTTGAAGTGCTACGTATCATCCCTTTTCCTTGGTCAAATGTATTTGGTCGGAGGTGGTGGCAGGGTAGCTCTGGCAGCTGCAGGCCTGGTGGGTAGGTGGCCGTGGGCTCCTTTTCTGCCTGTTAAATAATAATTACGTCTTTTTTGCATCTCCAGGTGCTTTACAGAAGAGACTAAGATGATGGTCCTTGCCTGCAGTTGAGGAGAGGGAGGTGCCTTGAGTTAAAAGCTGTTTCTCGGGGCAGGAGAGTGCCTTGAGCAGGAGGACTGTTCCCCGGGAGGGCAGCGTGGAGAGCCGCGTGCTTTCCTCCCACCGTGTTTGCTGGGCTCAGGAGGAAAAGGTGTCCTGAGCTGTAATGCAATGCTTCTCTAATCTGGGCTTGGAAATCACCACGAAGGAGATGCTGAAAGCCTTCACAGATGTTCCCCTGCAGTGGGCTGGAAGCGAGAGGGAAAGATGCTGGAGATGAAATATTGCCAAGCTTGGAAGGGAGGAGGGGACCAGAGGAGCTGCCTGGGGAGAAGTTGGGCTCAGTCTTCATGGGATGGGATGGGATGATCCTGTGCTGGTGGTGGGGCTCAGGCAGGCTGCTTGAGGAGGGGACAGGTCTCTGTCTCCCCCATGATGGCCTGCAGAGTTTTGGTGCCTCCATCCATCTCGCTATTCCCAAGCCACTGCACAGCCCTGACAGCCTGAGGAGATGCTGCCGGATCCCAGCAGCCTGGGGCCTGACCCAGCTGGGCAGGGAGGAGAGGCTTTAAAAATACATTCCCCGTGCAAAATGGGGACAGAAATAGCATCCCCTACCAGGGCTCAGAGGTTTCGTTTGACTGCGGGGGCACATCCCAGGCTGTCAGCAAGCAGAGGTGTTAGCAGATAGCTCCCTCCTTTCTGACAGAGAAATAAATAGTGTTGAGCAAGCTACCCTGTTGTTCCCCGACACCAACATCTACATTTTTCTGCCCACCCAGCTCCAGCCGAAGGGTGTTACACGGTTGCTAAGCGCCAGCTTTGGTTTTTGCTGGTGAACCAATGGAGCATTTGCAAACTCTGCAGCCTTTGCTGAGCTGGCAGCTGCCCGAAGCAGCCCTGGCAGGAGGTATATTTTTAAGCAGGGGGTGCCAGCCCCTTCCTGGGGGTTATGGGGCTGCAGATGCTAGAAGGGGCAGTTGTGCCCTTCTTCCTGCTTCTCCCCAGCTGGCGTGCATTACTTCCCCTCTCTCTCATGTTTCTTGGCATGAGGTTTCTTGTGCAAGACCTGAGCTTCCTGCTAGGTTATGCAGTGGTTTGGTTTTTAAGCCCTATCCGGAGCTGTACCCCATGGGGGTCTTCAGAGCCTGGTGCAGAAGGTGCTCCTCGGATGGGTGAGCTGCAGAGGAGGTTGGTCCCCAGCGCCGGGCTTGTACCTCTGTTGGGGCTCAGCCTGCTTTTTGGAGAAAGCATCTGACTTCCTAATACCACCATGGGGGCCAGAGGCTACGTACAAAGTGGCAGGCTGGAAGTGCCCCCGTGCCCAATGTGGCTCTGTCTGGGGAGCACAAAATCAGGCTTAGGAGAAGGTGTGGGTAGGTACAGGCAGGCAGTCAGGGAGGTCCCCGGGGCAGGTTTGCAGTGACGCTGCCAGTTCCCATGTCAGCAGCTTGCGGGTGCCAGCCGGAGCCCAGCTCAGGCCTTTACGTGTGAGCACTGCTAGGAGCGGTGGGTTTATTTTTAGTCCTGCGAGCACTTGCTCTGTCCCCCGCAAAACCATCTGCTGCCTCCAGTGGGGCTGGTTTGTTGGCTTTGAGTCAACAAAGCAAAACCCCTCCCAGGTTTTCCATTTATTGGCCGCAAACCAGGATGTTTTTCATGCTCATCTTCTGCCTCCTGCCCCCATGTCCTCTCCCCACCCTCCCACGAGTCTTTTGGATGAGGAGTCTTGGGCCGAGTCTGATTCTTCCCTCAACTTCGTGCTTCAGTCGGGCAGAGCACCGGGGTGCCGGGAGGGGACTCGCTCTGATGCGACCTGGGGATGCTCCCAAGGGTGCCCAAGCCCCTTTGCAGGGAGTACCAGATGCTCACCAGGCTTAAGATGAAAACTGGAGCTTAATTATGTTGAGTTACTGATCAGCAGTGGACGTGGTGCCTCTGCTGAGTGAAAGCGAAGATGCTGAGAAATGCACTTGGTGAGGACCAGCTCAGCTGGTCTGTTTGTAAATGTGGGTACCAACATGAAGGGAAGGGTTGAAAAGCAAAATGAGGCAGCCTGAGGCTAATGAATGTGTGCTCCCCATGTACAGAGTGGCTTTCAAGGCTTCCCAAGGCTGTGCCTGCAAAATCCCCCCGCT